CCATCATGTTGAAATTAGGTTATGGGAGCATAGGGAATTGTGATCACAGCAAGCCAGTGATAACAATCTGCTTCATATCATGGAATGTAGTTCCAGTTTAAAAAATCTGATTTATTGCACTCCTTCTTATGACAATTTAAGGAGTTGTTATTTGTAAATTCTTTATTTCTAAAGACTTAGAAAACTGTACACAGATTGAAAATAGTCAAGTCCCAGTACACATTTTCGAGGTATAGAAATCAGAAATACATAAAAGGTGCTTCATGATAGAAGTAGATGAGAAGAATATGACTTCTAGAAAAATCACTTTGTCCTGAGTAATGCAACTGTTTCTATTTTTAAGGGTTTTAGTGGGTCACATGAGACATGAATTGCCCTTGTACCAATAGAAAATCTTGTTATTGACCATAAAATCAAAAGCAAAACCATTGTCTTGAACATAAGTCAGGTTTCCGGTTTTAAACGTGGATGGGAATAGGTCAGTGGTTGTGATTTTAGTGGTTTGTAAGTTAAGGAGGTGGTGGGATAGAGGAGCTCTAGGGGCTATGGATGGAGGGACTAAGGAAAAGGAAAACTGGTGTAGATCTAATAATGGGGAGCTACCTGTAGAAAGAGCAAGAGGGAATAGGGAGTTAGGAGAGGAAAGAAAGCAGTAGAAAATAAGGGAGGCCTGAGGGGGTTGGGGTGTATGTAATCCTTTGGGAAGACATGCAGGAGAAGACAGAAAGTTCAAGAGTTTACATGCATGAGACTTTCCAAAGAAGTGAAATTGGTCCAGCAAAACCACATCTTGCAGCATATTTCGAGTTTGTTTTAAGAGGATAAGAATGAGGCCAATAGACACCAAGGGGTGTGTGTGTGTGGGGGCGGGGGGACGAGGGGGGGTCAATCTGTCTATCCTTTTAGGATACAAGCTTTGGCAGCATTGAGGAGGTGTCTGAGGATAGATGTTTTGATAGGTTTTCATAGGGATGGAAGTGGTGTGCAAGAAGAAAACAGAGGTTTCATTGGGCAGTATAAAGTATTAGTATTTGGTCCAGAAGGTCCTTCAGTTTTAGTTAGTGCAGAATGGATTCCATATCTGTGTTGCTACGGCAGCAAAGATCTGTGACATTTGGGTAGAGTTTTTAAATGGCAGTTGGTGTGTTATACCATTCAGATAACATTTTGAAGTTTTTTGTTTTATATGTAGTGCAGATGAAGGACTTTAGTGAGAAGTGCAGTATCATTTTCACATTGTTTCTGGGTGAAGGATACCTGTAAGTCTTTCTCCCAGAGTTTCAAGTATGGGGCTTTGTATCCTGGTTTTGTTGTGGATATATGTGCATCCAAGGACCAAGAAGCTGCAATATATCACACGCTTGTTTTGGGATTTAGATATGCTTTGAAGGATAGTTATAATTTTAAATATACTAAATCTACATGCTCTCCCCACCTTGTCTTTCCAATGCTACCTTTACCTCATATCAGCAGATAACTCAGTCCAGGTGCCATGACCTACATAGAGTGGTGGTCCCATCCTCTTCACGGCTGGTGGGACTTTGCAGTATTCTGCATGCATGGCTTAGTTTATTTGATTCAGTGTCCAGTGTATTGGGGTTTTATTTGTGTTACTGTTGCTTTTAATGTTTAATCTTACTTTTCTTTCACAGTTTGTTGCTTTATGTTAAAAAAACCGCTATGAGCCTAATTAGGGGACTTTTTAGCATAAAAACATGTCCAAGACAGTTGAAAGGAGCTTCAGTAACCCACATGAGCCAATTAAAGCCAAATGCACTACCAGTGAACAACTAGAAGATATTGGTCACCAAAACAGTGCACTGTTTTCTGTGAGTCAGCCAACTAATTAACGTGCATTCTAAGAAGGAGCACATCTATAGCGTAGCAAAGCAGGAAGTAGGCCCTTTGGATATGCTATGCAAATATAGCTGCCTCTATGAACATATATAATTCTAAAACTATTTCTAGCATGACTGAAAAGCTTAACATTCCTTCTAAAGCTTCCGAAAACCTTTAGACATTAGTTGATTGATGACCTAATTTTCATCTGAAACTCCTAGAAATGTTACCCATTGTTTGTGAATCTGGTATGCCGCCATCTTCTTCATCTTGTAGTTTATTTGACATTTTAGGCACATGTTACACTGGAAAGCAAAGCTAGAAATCTACAAAGACTCTCCAATGTCCTTTTACTGTCATGACTTGAGACATAATGAGGCAATAAAAAAAGAAAATTAATATGTTGTAATAAAATAGTCATTAAGAAGAGAGAGACGGTGCCAACGTGAAAAATTGGCCCCATACACCACCAGTAAACCGGCCACACAGCAGGGAAATTCAAACTAAGCATTAGATGAAAAATAAGCATAAGTTACCTTTCGTGATAATCATGAGCCTGAATTATTAGTAGTATAAAAACTTCAACATAATATGTAAAAGTAATCAAAGATGGCCCCTAAGAATACCATGTTTAAAGTGATAATAAAGTCAAAACGTTTTTTTAAGCTATTTCAAATGTTTAAATCACTTACAATGGATGCTGCTCTTTGATATTTAAAAGTTTTAGTTTCCTGCAGAATCAGCTGGTCCCCTGAGCACTGGCCCGGATATCCTGTTTTAGGGTGGCTCCTTTCCCTTGCAGGGTTCTATGGAGTCACCTTTGTGTGTGCTAGTAAGCAGTGTGTGTCTCCACAATCACAGACACAGCAAGACAAGGCACTCCCTTCTCTTACTCCTCCCCCTCCTCCCTTCTGCAAGTTAGTAGATGGACGGCTGCTGCAGACTGCTCTGTGCCTTGTGATCTTGTACAGGAAGTTCAGGGAAGCCGAGCTGAGAGAGACCGTTGCAGACTTTGCGCTTTGCGATACGACTTTCTATAACCTAAATTATTTTTTTAAATGGTGCACCCTTGCAGCTACTGCAACCATGACAAAATTGGGGACATTTTCTGCCCGGTTTGTGTAAATGTAAGCTATTGCTCAAATGATTACTTTAGCTTTTTCCAGCAGGATTTTTATCCTTACGTTACTAAGGCTGATTATGAGAGGTAAGAGCTGGCAATGAAGTGTCCTGAAATTCTTTCAATGTATGTAAGTGACCTAAAGAGGAAAATATTTTTCCCATTATTGAGTTCTAAGAACTGGAATTCTCCTGTTGCATGCTTTTAGCATAGAGACACCAACTGGAATCCTCATGCTGCATGCTTTTAGCACAGGGACAGGAGAGAGAGGCTCCAGCAAAGGATAAGATGAATATAAAGACTAGGGGTTAGGCCTCGTTCACACCTGAATCGCGGTATCGCGAATCGCGGTAAAAAAAACTGCGCGACAACCGCGCGTATGCAATACGCCTAGGTATGAACCAGGCCTCAAACTTAAAGGGGGGGATTTATTAAAACTGGAGCAGCTGTGCATGGCAACCAATCAGCTTCTAGGTTTCATTTTCAAAGCTTAACTGAACAAATTGAAGAAATAAGCTGATTTGTTAGTGTGGCCAAATGCTCCATATTCTGTCTGCTCAGACTTTAATAAATTCCAACCAAAAGAATTTTAGGGGGGGGCATTAAGTGGTAAGGGCACACTCAAGGGATGACATGTTAGGTAAAGGGTTGGTTTTGGAATTAATGTAAACCCTAAATGAATTAAATGTAGTTTTCTAAACTATTGTTTTCACCAGTTTTCACTTTTTTCCATCATTTGTTGCATTTCAACGCTGCTGATCTCCTGCAGCCTCTTCCTGTCTACATGCACTTCAATAATGGCTGCATGCCAGGGCAGGTTTTCTAATAGTGACAACAGTGTGCCATGCCTGCATATTGCGATTAAACAGACAGATGTGCATTGAAGGAGCGCCAGACACCATGAGTGGATGTGGAAAAGTGGTACAGTATTGACAGTTGCACTTTTTTAGGTCACACTATGTTAGGGCAGCTGTTTATCAATCCCAAATTTTTAAAAACTTTAAGTTAATTTTGATGCACATAAACACAATATACAGTAATACCCACGTTTTGGATAAAATATAAAGTTGTGTTGAGTAAATAGGCTCAAAACTGTGTGTTTGTGAAATGGAAAAAAATGACGGTCTCCAAAATTGTCCATAGGCGAGGCTTTCAAAGCCTTTATAGGTCATGAATTTAGAGTCAACAAGGAATGATGGCTCCAGCATTATTGTGCGCACCGATATCCAACATGCATGGCGCATTAACTCTATTGCTATCACATGGGGGATCACAAGTCCCCCTATGTGGTAGCACATTAGTAGTGACAGGTTCTCTTTAAGGAAACATTAGGGGTCTATTAGACTCCCAATGTCACCTTTCTACTCCAATGAAGCTGATCAAGCACAGATGGAACGACAGCTCTGAAACCAGAAGTGATAAAATCCTTGTTGCTTCTGGTTTCATTATGCACAGAGACTTTTGATTGTCCTCCACGAAACCTGCCGACATGGTCCATGCCTGTCTTGGGCCTGGGGGAAGGGCAGCCGAGGCTGGGATACATGGTGGCGGTAGTCCAGCGGGGATAATCCAGTAGGGAGAGGGGGAAAACGGTACTTTCAGTAGCCTGTGGAAGTGAATCAGTAAGCTTTGTGTATTTCTTTCAGATTTGTGCAGTAATCCAACATGGAACAACTTCTGCACATGTATGCAGTATGCAGGAGCTTCCTGTAATAAAGACCGGTCACTGCTGGTATCTCTCCTTGTGCAGGGTGACTGGTCTTGTCTCCGCCCCCTCCTGTAATTTTCTGCAGGCAGCCTGTAGTGGGTGGACCTTCTGGGCCCCTCCCACACTCTGCTCTCTGCATGGGCTATGAACAGCACTGTGGTGATTTCATAGCTACTTTTTAAAGTACTATTTGAGTTTGCAAAGACATTTGGTGCTCACAAAGTGGCTCCTGAGCAATAAATCTGAATAAAAGTTCTTGTGTCCGCAGTTCAGCTTATTCAACAACAATGTTCATGTTTTTAGATTATTTGGAAAATAACACTGGTAACTGACCTTGTATATGCCAAAGTATAGTACTGAATGGGTGAGCTGCCCTCTCTGGCACCCGGTTTCCAGGAAATAGCGACCTCCACATCCGACACAACCACAAGCTGGGGCTGGGCTGGGGGGTCAGGTACTTGGCACTTATCTACAACAAAAGGAATGACAGAGATCAAAGCCAAAGCTCGGCAGGAGGAACAAACAAAAGTCAATCCAGGAATGTGTGAATTGGGACAGAAAGGCGAACTCTGATAAACCCCATCCACATATAATCTCTGGAGGCAGATCATGGATTCGATTTGTAACTGATTACCGCATTGATTTATTACATTCATCTACATCTGTCGCTGCTCATTTGTGAAGTATTACTGACACAACAACACAGAAATCAATGGCAAGCGGGCTCTAAGTATCCTGGATGTGTACATAACTGCATTGCTGATTTCCAGTGCTTCACTAAAGCCAAACAAAGAGCTCTAGAATGAGTCCTGCCATTATCATAAATCTTGCCATACACGAGCCGCTGTTTATATCATCTGAATACGAATATTTCTAAAATAGGGATTGAAAGTCAGAAGAACCAGAATAGTGTCAATGAAGAACTTTGCCAAGCTCTACTTAGACTAAACAAGCCATGTAACATAACAGGCTGACCATTTACACTAAATCACTGGGACTTTGCTTTTAATGAGCACCTGGGCACCTAGGACTTGGCCCACTCGCATCTTTGTCAGCAGTTTGTCAGTCCATCAGGTACAGAAGTCATATCATTTATGGTCTCACCTTGGGATAAAGTGGACACATCTCTTGGCATGCTGGCTCTTCCCTTTCCTGCCCAGCTGTAGGCTCCAACGCTAACCCGATGCAGAGTCCCTGACTGGAGGCCACCAAGGACAACTTTCTACATGGAGCGATAACACAATTTAATTATATGTGTGTGTGTGTGCAGACATATGCAAACAGATAATGTGCTCTACAAATGTAGAACATCTTCAAATGGATGTTTGGTAGCAAAAAGCAAATAAATATTTTTCTAAATATGTACATGTAGTAGGGGACAGGCACCCTCAAGACTTGAGAGGATATGCAGGATGCATTCTAGAAATATTAATAAGTGTTTTAATGCATCCTGCTTCTTCTCTCAAGTCCTTATGTCCTGTAAGTGCCTTTGTTAAATATTTTTATTTTTTACTTTACTTTTAGGGGCTTTGGGGAAATATCCTCTATCTCTTTTTCTGTATCCCTAGTTATTAATGAACAGGAATCCTCTATACTGAGTGTTCCTGTTCATTCATAACATGAGGACAGAGTATGTTTACGATAACCACAATCATGAATGAACAGGAGGTGATGTAGATCACATCCCATTCATTCATAATTGAGGCTATAGTAACCATGTTATGTCCTCAATTAAGTGCAAACACTCAGCGATCATTGATAACTGACTGCTTGTATCCGCTCTCCTCTCTGATACGCTGTCACAGGAGGCTGAGCGAGCGGTGCAGGGAGGAGAGCTCAGCCTCCTGTGACAGCGCGCGCTGTCTCCGCGCACACACTACTCGGCTGGACTATGTTAGGAGGCTGAGCGGTGTGGGAGGAGAGACGTCGGGCACTCACAGCGTTCTCCTCCTGTAGTGCTCGGCCGGCCGTCACACTTTCTGTTCTCCCCGCTGGAGGAAAGAAAGCAGGGATGCAACAATTATTCGGCAGCAAAATGGCATTTTCCGCATTTCAGAAATATGTTTAGGCGGCTGATATATCGGTGCGTCCCTAATATATATATAATATTTTTTGTTTTAATGTTTTTTTTGTTTTTTTATGGGTCCATTTAAAGCTGAGTATTTAGGTCTGCTTTAAGTCTGTGCTCTAGAATGACACCTAGAAATGTCTTATCATTGTTCCTCTTCGACACGTATTCCCTTATATATAGAAACTCAAAATTTAGTAAGCAATGAAAGAGTTATGTTCATCAAGTCCATAACTGACAGATGGCAATGATTCTGCAAAAAAATTGTTCTGATTTTTTTTTAGTATATATAAGAGGAAATTGCATGCTCCATCAACATGTGTGAAGTGGGATGACTCAGTGGTATGACTGCTTTAATTACAGGAGAAAGTAAAACTCTTTGCAAACCATCTGCTGCATTTCTATATTCCATGAGTCCATTAACACTGTTGCGTAATAATAAAAGCCTCGGCCACAATTCAAATGTACAGTACATCGGCGACGTATCCAGCCGAGCGGCAGAGGTACTTACAAATGTTTCCACTGCATCTAGTTGCCCCTGAAAAATAGAAAAGTTTCACAGCTAAGCTATTTTTCTTTTGAGAAGCAGCTTTTGAAAAAGCATTTATAAATTGCATTTAAAATGTGCCAAGTCAGTTAGATAGAAAACTTGTGGAAAGTGCTCTTACCACGACACTCAGCTTTTGGAATAAGATTAGATAAGCAACACTATGTTCACAAAGATGGATGAGAAAAAGTATAAGCTGTATTCGGGCCTAGTAAAACTAAACTCCCGGCAGTAGCTAAATACAAATACCCCTTTTAGATTGTAAGCCCTCAGGTGCAGGACCCTCCTTACCATCTTGTCATGAATTGTATTGTGATTGTAATGTCTTCCTTATATTGTAAAGCGCAAACTGTTGGCGCTATATAAATCCTGTATAATAATAATAATAATAATAAACAGGTGAATTACGTATATGTGAACAGGCTTAAAGGGTTATTAACCCCTTCATGACTGAGGCCCTTTTTTCCATTTTTGCACCCATGTTATATTCCACATTTTAGGCCTGAAAATGACGTAAAACCCCCCAACATTATATATTTTCTGAATGCCAAGACCCTATAGAATAAAATGGTGGTAGTTGAAAATTTTTATGTTGCGCAATATTAGCGCAACTCCTTATTAAACCCCAAAATTTAGTGACAAATTTAATTAAATGCCCCAAAACACAACAAATTACCCATTTTTTTAATGAAATATAAAAGATGAGGTTACAACGAGTAAAACGATACCCAACATGCCCAGTTTACAGATTGCGTGCGACCGTGAAACGGCGAAAACGTGCAGTAACACAAAAAGTCAATAAAAGACACTTTAAAAGCCCCCACAGGTCATCAATTTAGAGATACCCCAAAATACTGCCCCTAGAATTATTGCTCTCACTCCGGCGTGCGCGGCGATACCCAACATGTGTAGCGCGTTCGTCGTTTTCATGCGTAGGCGCACCCGACGCGTGTTTACGTGGCGACGCGCGTGCTCGCGGGGGCGGGGTACTTTTAAAATTTTTTTTTTATTATTATTAGATTTATTTTATTTCATTTTAATTTTAAAAACTGTTTTTTTTTTTTTTTTTACTTTACTTTGACTGCTATCACATGGGGGGGCTTGCAAGCCCCCCCATGTAATAGCAGATGGTGGTGACAGGTCCTCTTTAAGGTGATGCTGGGGGTCCAAAAGACCCTCAGTGTCACCTTTACACTGGAAATAAGCTATTGAAGTGCAGATCGCACTTCAATAGCTTATAGCTGGGCTGCAGGAGCCCAGAACTGACAGCCCAGGGACCGGAAGTGATGCAATCTGCATCGCTCCCGGTCCCATAGAACGGGGAGGGGATCGATGAACGGAAGTTCGTCGACCTCCTCCCCAGCTCCCCGCGGACACAAAGATCGCCGGTCCCGGGCCCGTAGGAGGGGCAACGGAGCCCGGGAAGCACGGCGGGGGTGTCCGGCGGGGGGGGGGGCCCCTTCTTCGGGACGCAGAAGCGATCTGGCGACAGGTAAGTCGCCAGGATCGCTTCTGTTGTAAAGCCGACAGTCGGCTCTACAAGTTTAAACAGAGTCCCGGCGGCAAAAGTCGCCGGGAGTCTGTTTAAACAGCCCCGATGCTGGCGACGTACACTGTACGTCGTCAGTCACGAAGGGGTTAAACCCTCGCATCTTTTTGCATATATCTACTGCTAGCAAGCAGTACATTAAAAATAAAGGGTTAATACTTACCTGTGTCTCCGCCGCGCGCTTCCATCCGTACATCTGAAAACTTATCCGGCGGCCGCAAAGGATCTTGGGGCGGGCGCATGCGTAGTTTAGATGTTCGGCCAGGAGACGAGGAGAGACACAAGGTAAGTCTATGGAGCAGCGTGCACACGCACATACTCCATGGGACATGAGAGAAGAGGAGGACAGAGGAGAAAAGGACAGTAAAGTAGAAGATGATCAGATTAAGAGTCATAATTTAAGGTAAGTCCTTACATTAGCATTGTGGGGGGGGACACTTTTGACTTTAGTGTCACTTTAAGCTATTCATGCACTGTTAGAATTTCTTTTGAACATTATTTCAAAATTGTTCATCATAACATTCAATGATGCCACCACTGGGCCAGCTAATTTAGTTTGAAAGGCTCCAAAAATGTCATCCAGACTGGCTACTTGAATGGAATCCCAGACATATTAAACAGGTTTCTTTGTGCCTAGAACATGCACATTACTATATGTTAGATTTTTCCAAAATGAAAAACAGAAAGAGAAAACATTTCCAACCTGTTCCTTTTATTTTCCTCATTACTACGATTGAATATGAATGTGGCATAATGAGGCAGCTTGAGGCAGTTGCCTCATGCGGCATCTCATTGGGTCAAGTGGGAGGGGTGGCAGGTGTGCCTGCCACCTCCCTTCTGGCCGGAGCGTCCCAGGTTGCTAAGAGCCAATTCAGAACCCTCCAAAATCCCAACACAGACACTAAAGTCCAGTTTCAGGCAAAAAAAATGTTAAAAAAACCCCTCTATAACAAAAACTATAGCAAAATGTGTTAACTAAAACTAACTAAAAATGGAAGGGAGAGGAAAGAACTAATTTGGGACTCATTAGGGTAAGTACAATTTTTTTTCACAGTTGAGCTGTAACTGAATTTATTATTGGATCACAAAAAGCCTGTGATCTGCAGAAAGAGGCGGCAATAATGTAACTTAGTAAGAATGTCTCAAAATCACAGTGACAATTAAAATAGGAGCCACTGTGACTGATGGAAGTGGGGAGGGGCGTATCATTCTAAGCCATAGGGTTTCTCTCTCAGATTGTCTGCCTGGAGGGGCCAAAAAAGTAACAAAATTATATCTCTTGAGGATAATATTTTCCAAGGCATTTAAATGTTTCTCTGAGAAGATTGAGCCCCATAACTGTCTGAAATATCTGATAAAATGACATAATTACATACTAGCATAGTAGTTAAGGTTGGAAAAAGACACAGGTCCATCCAGTCCAACCTATGCGTGTCAGTTTGAGTGTGTGCCATTTTGATTTTTTTTAAGGCTTCGTTCACACCATCCTCAGTTTGTTCCGGCCCACTTGTGGCTGGAATGCACTGGATCACATTGCGGCCGGCTCAGCTTGTTGTAGGATGGGCGGGGGTATGGCGGTGCATTGAAGTGAATGGCACCGCAGCCATGCCCTCCCTAATGCCTGCCGTTCAGTCCGGTCAGAAAAAATTGCGCTTGCAGCATTTTTTCTGACCGGACCACAGGCATTGATGTGCCTTGCCTTCCCGTGCGGCTGATCGCATTGCAGCCGGAGGGTGCGGCTGCGGTGCCATTCACTTCAATGCACCTCCAAAGCTCCTCCAGCCCTACAACAAACTGAGCCAGCCGCAATTCGATCCAGTGCGTTTTGGCCACAATTAGGCCAGAACGCACTGGGGATGGTGAGAATGAGGCCTAAGAGTATACCTATCCTTGTATGTTGTGCTCAGCGAGTAAGAAATCTAGAAGTTTTTTGGATCTGTAAATACTCCCAGCTGATACCACTACTTGGGGAAGGAAGTTCCAAATTTTTTCTGTTCTGACCGCAAAGAACCCTCATTGTAAATTCAGATTAAACCTCCTTTCCACCAACTTTAAATTGTGGTCACCTGTGCTTATTAAGGACCTGAGACTAAACAAGTTGCTACTTGCTTTACAGTCATCATTGATTAACCTGTAGGTAGCAATCATGTCTCCTCTCTAAAGCTGTCCATACACCTTACAATTATCTGCAGATTTTATGTGGTCAGATGGAAAAGGTGCAACATATTCCTCCATCTACACTTAACTGTGTGGATGGAGTAATCTCCACCTGGGCCAATCTGTTGCAATTTTTCCATCTGACCACAGAACATCTGCAGATAATTGTAAGGTGTATGGGCACCTTAAGATATATAACTTTAATTTATTAAATCGTTCCTCATAGCTGTGGTCCTCCAGTCCCATAATTAATTTTGTTGGCCATCGCTGGACTCTTTCTAATTCTAGGACTCCCCTTGTGTTCATGGGTGACCAAATATTCTTGTAAACATTGTGAAATAATTAAAAGTTCAGAAGGTTTCGAGCATTACTGGTTAAAATGCGAATAGATATACTGAAAAATGGCAATGATGGGGCTAGTCTAACTTAGAATTTGTCATTGAACTAACATGCAAGATTCTCTTACTACATTAGGTGCTATCCTCCATTCCAAAAAGCTGCATCATAGAAAAAAACTTCAAAGAAAAGTTAGAAAAGATACTTGCCTTACTAGGGCAAAACCCAACATTTACATGTTTACTTATGCTTTAGTACTATACAATTACAGTTTGTAAAACATTTTGGTTTTTCTAAACTTTTTATTTTATTTGTCAGCCTATAGTTAAAAAAACAGGGCAGGGTTCTTATTAATACAGTGTACCAAATAAAGCTTCATATGTCTGTAACAAAAAATTTCTTAGGTATGCTAATTTTGCCATTAGCAACTTGTCATCAATGACCTCTAGTCGTGAAAGGTTTCAGTTTCTTTCCACTAACCACCAAAAACAAAAAAAGTTAAAGGGAGATTTGGGGTATGAGAAAGTATGAAAACCCAAACCCTAAAAGTATTGTCACCCTTACCATTCAACGACCACGAGGCACAGATAGCTTTTAATGTTCAGTGATAGACACCATAAAGTTTTAGCCTAAACTAATATTAATACCTTGAATTATCTTTCTAAGCCCTTCTAGATATATTGCAAAGCCCAATTCACCTGGTAATTGGAAGAGAGCTGCCTTCCGTTGCTGCTCATTGTAAATAATTTAGTAGCCCCATTCTGAATATATTCACATAATTAAGTAACTTACCAAGTTCAACATATCCAATTTAAGGGGAACATCCTGAGTTAGCTGTTTCACATGTTTACTGTTAATTACCTCCGTGTAGAAAACCTATGAAGGAAAGATGCAAAATTCAAATTGCGGTACAATCTGTACTTTAAGCTTCTAAACCTTCATCTGCTAAACCTTCAATGGTTACTCATTAACGATATACAGGAAAAGCTATTAAAAACAAAGAACAAATAAAATATTTAAGATTGCTACAATTGCTTAGCTGGTTCAAATATCACCGAGATGATTTTTGCAAGAAAGTTAGCTTTCAAAATTGCAGAAGAAGTACTGAAAATTGAGATGTATGCTTCCTAAAGCATGGAAAATGTATGCACGTTGTACATTCAGAAATAACCCCAAACTGGTAAAAGAGCAATTCCAGAAAACAAGTAAAACTACTCAGGGAAATACTAATTCCACCTAACAAACACTGTAACTGCCTAAATCAGAAAACTCACTCCACTACACTCCTTCACTCCTAAATCTTAGTCCTTTGTAATCTGTAGCAAGTATTCAGAGACCACCTCACAGGGTCACTGAGAGTGCATTCTATGAAGTGTGTGCTACCTAACTTCTTTTTTGTCTTCCTGAATCACCAATCACATTCAAAATTCAAAGGCAAGATTGAATCTGATTGGTGTCTGTGAAGAACTTCACATTACTGATGGCTACATTAGGTTTTATGTAGGTGAGGCTGTATTGGGTGTTTTTCTCTCCTGGTTTTCCAAGATCATGAAATTACAAATAAAGGTAAGAGGATAGATTAGTGTACTAGGTCAATGCCTAAGTGCAAAAACTGAAGTACTGAGCCGGTGGGCTTTGGAATCCCTCTATGCATCTTAAAGTGACATTAAAGTCACATCGACCCCCATGCTGCTTTAAGGACTTACCTTAAATAATGACTCTTGATCCAATCATCTTCTTCTTTCCAGTAGTTTTCAGGAGTCCCTCCAGCGCTGGTGCCGGTCTCTGATGTCTTTTGTGTCCCAGGGTGTCTGAGTGTGTGCATGCTCCAGGCTGCGTGCATTGACTTACACTGTGTCTCTCCTCTTCTCCCGGCTGAAGATCTCTACTGCACATGCGCCCGACCCATGATCCTTCACAGCCACTCGAGAATCTTCAGATCTTTGGATGGGAGCCAGCGGTGGAGACACAGGTAACTTTTTTGGTAATTTTTTAATTATTTTTAATGTTTTTGGATATGTCTACTGCTTGCTAGCGGGAAATATATGTAAAAGAAGAAGGTTTAATTATACTTTAAGGCTTTATTTTCATTTTGACTAGACTGTGTCTTTGAAGAAGAATACCTCTAAATGTTACTTGCATCTAAACAGACCATACTACACAGATCCATACAATTTGAGAAAAAAGCAATAACTTGACTGTGAAAAAAATGGTCTGTATGTGGTCCCCATGCCTATGGCAGTCAAGTACAATTTAGGAAAGCTGTAAATTAGGGAAAACAGCTCTGCCTTCAAAAAACAATACAAACGTTTCTTCTTGAGTTTCATAAGTCAATCCTGAAGGTTCACTGGTGGACAGGGATACACAATACACCTCCCACTGACTCACAATGGCCTTATGGAGATTCTGTCAATTTACCCATTCAGGGACTATCTTGAACGCCCAAACCATGACCCACTTATGCAACTCTCCTTCACCGTTAGCCTTTATCTGTTGGGGCCTTCACAAAATGTCTGGTGCTTGCGGGTATGGTGGAGCATATGGTCTCCTACCAGGATTCAGTGCTAGGGCCTGATTGGCCAATTGCTGCAGCTAAGCACTGCCAAATGGGAATAATGGTGACATGGTCAAACTTGTGATAGCTCTGACAGCAGTCCATCATGGAGCTTACATAGGGTTTGGTCTCTCAGCTCTGATTGAGAAAAGGAGCAACGGAGGAGAACAGTAAAGGTGCACTGGGGATGGGCTTTCAAGAGGCTCTGTAACTTTTCTCTGAATGGGAAGCATGGCAGTGTCTATTTAAAGCAGATTGGGACACAAACATCAAAATATTTGGCATGATTCAGTAATACGCACACAAATCATTCATATGAGGAATAAGTATTAATGGCAAGCCAAGTGTGTGGGCAGAAAGGAATGATGGCTGTGAAATGCAGTATGCAAAATAAAAATGAAAATCTGATGGTTTAGGAGATCCAACTACACCGTAAATACCAGCAATATCAGAATCAGATACCTTTCAGATAATGATTACCCATTCAACAGTTTAGAAGCTGTCTGATTACTCTGCCACATTGGTAGATCCAATATCACGGTAGACAACAAAAGTTTGCTTGTTTGTTTTTAAGCACAGTTTCCTTCTACGGGAAATAATGTTTAGTGATGCTTTACCATCCCTAGAAAAGTTGATGTTTGGTATAGAACAATCCTACACATGCCATATCTACAGATAAAACAAAAAACGTGTTGACTGTCTATTAGAGACATAGAGACAGCTCTCCCTGTGTTCATCTCTCTCCCGTCTCTTTCCAGCTACATCCTCTTATTGATTAATCTGTCCATCCCATTGTTACTAATTAGGTGGCATAGCAGGAGAGCCTATGGGGACCCCAATCTCCTCTCCAGTATTATCTCCGGAGGATAAACTCATTTTCTGTTTCAATAAATGACAGGGGTCTACATAACACATCTTTCAGATTCGATCTAAAAACCGCAGCAGCGTCTAATGATTCTTGCTGGCAAAACACCTTTCCATTCCAGCCAGCACCATTAAGAATTTTCATCCCGTGTGCATTTAACTTCAAGCACCCGTAATTTATGATTTAATTTTTCATCAATAGAAGTAATTGGTCTCTCACTTCCTCTAAATTCCAATACCCGGGGGCCGCGTACAATTAATTTTTACGGCTGCTTCTGCGGAAAATTTATTAAGCATGTCTCTCATTGTTTTGTTTCTTGTTAAATCTTGCTGGGAGCCCGTAGTTTATGCAGATGGGTTTTAAATATGTGGCCCAGGAGAAACCGAGAAAGATGAGAACATGGGCCTGGCCAATGAGCTGTGCCTATAAAACATTCTACGCAATGCTTTCAGTGGCAAGTCCACTCCTAGGACTGATGTATTGAAACAAGACCAGTGCACATTATTAACTTTCTAGAGGTCGATTTTTTTTAATTTTAATTTAAGATGTAAAGAGCTCCTGGAAAATTAAAGGGTCACTTGGCTCAACTTTACCAAAGGTTCCATTTTTTGAAAGGGCTTTTACCTTACATAAATTGAAATGTATGCACAGCCAATTTTTTTTTTTCATTTTAGAGTAGGGAAGGGTTAAAACGTCTGCCAGGTTGTTTTTTGTTCTCTGTATACAGTTAGGGAAATCTCCCTTCACTTCCTGACCCAGAGATGCAACAGGAAGTTACAGGAAATCTCTCAAAGTGAGAGGAATTCCCCTTATAGACAGTTGTTTTTCACCATTGGAAGATTTCCCCTTACCCTCCCTTTCTTTCTCAGTGACAGTAGTCACCAGGGCAAATAGAGGGGTGATTCTCCCCAATGGAGACACATGCAGCAATAAAAACTTGGAAACGGCTCTATCCCTCACCTACTTAATCCAAGATTTAAAAAAAAAAAAAAGTATTTGCCTATAGAAAATGTTAAGACTGCTGTGTTCCTCTATTGGATTACTGGACAGGAAGTTAGCTAAGTGGAGGTGGAAAGAAGTGTTGAAAATATTGCTACAGCAGGCTTTCGTCAAGTAGTGCAAAAACATACAGCAGCGGTCATTGAACTAGGGCCCACTGGTTGCCATAAACTAAGTCCTTCTAATGAGACGGCTCCCACATGCAGGTTTTTCCCATTGCAAGCTGAGGTGGAGGAGCTGCTGATTGTGGGGTAGCAAGCAAGTGCTGGGTGCTATTACAGGCAGTACTGAATGGGGCAGAGTGATCTCCTGCCTGCTGGTGCCTGTATAATCCTGGGCCCTGACATAAACATGAGTAGCGGCACAGAACAAAGAGCTTGCATGAAGGTAATTGTTACTGACACCAATGCTGGGGTACTATATTTAGCCCACTGATACCAATTGTCAGAGTCTATAGTCCTTGTACTAGCAACTAATGCTGGGCACCATTACTCTTAGTAACACATGGACATTTATTACTCCCATTGACCCCAGGTCATTTATTACTCCCACCGATGCTGGGACATTCCTTACCCCCACTGACCACTGTCACCCAGTCACTCACTACACACATTAATGGGGCAGTTATTACTCCTACAGACATCAGGGCATTTCTTTACTCCCACTGACCACTGCTGCCTTTTGTGACCAATAATGTTGGGATACTTTTATTCCCACTGATGTCTGCATATTTAATAATCCTACTGACCACTGATGCTGAGGGGATTTCCTACTCCCACTGACACCATGGCATGTTTTACTCCCATTGATGCCAGGACATTTTTTATTTCTACTGATACTGGGACATTTTTTACTCACACTGACGCTGGGAATTTTTTTACCCCCGCCGATGCAGGGGCATACTCAAATCCCACTAATGCCAGGACGCCTATTACTTCCATGACCACTTACGCTGGGACATTTATTACTTCCAATGACATCTGATGCAGGGGCATTTTTTTCTTTTTGTGCACACATGATAAAATATAATTTTTTTGGCTAGAAAACAGCTTCAAACCCCCAAACAATGATATATGTTCTGAAAGCAGAGGCCCTGTAGAATTAAAAAAAATGCTAGTTGCAATTTTTTATGTCGCACGTTTTTTGCTCAAATGTTTATCAAACCCGTATTTTTAGGAAAAAATTAACTAAATTAAAATTTAGTGCACAGAAACATAATATAATACCCAATTTTTTGGTTAAAAAAAAGAAAGACGGGGTCACGTCGGGTAAAATTGCATTCGCCCGTGAAGCCGCGTGAATACCAAATTTTCCCATAGGGAAGCTGCTGAATCTCTCTCCGATCACTGCGAGGAGACCTACCGAGCCGTTCCCCGGCGCCGCACGGGAACAGCTGTGCCCGGGGAAGCCAACGGTGGGTGGGGGGAATGGGGGCGCCGCATGGTACAAACGATCCGGCTGTTGCAGCAGCCGTGTTCTTGTTTTAACCACTTCTGTGGGCGCCGCCGTCTATAGACGGACGTACTGCGGCTCGGAAGTGGTTAAGCCTACTAGACACTGTCTGGCCCCAAAGCAGACCGATGAACTGGCCCTTTTGAAAAAAGTTTGAGGATCCCTTGAAATAGAACAGTTCTACACATACAGTACTTGCAAGAAGCTTGTTTGGGCTTTATACTCACAGCCTTCAGCGTTCACAATAGCAAACTTTTACAAAACATTTTCAAAGCTTTCAGCCGGCTTCAAGCAGCTTTCTTTAGAAATACTTACAGTGCCACTTAAAGTTTGTTGAAAGCCTGCTAGTAGCTTGTTTAAATTGACAGCCCCCATTCCCACTAGGATCTGTGTTCACCATCACCAAACTGGACGCTGAAGGGGTTTTAAAGGCTTCCAGAAAGCTTTGTAAGTGTTTTTGTGAAAGCTTTCTTTACTCACTGCTCTTACATAAGTTAAAGCCGATGTTTACAAGGACTTAAAGTGACAAAGATCCCTGCTGTTATAAACTGTGTTTAACCCTTTCATGCGCTGAGGTCAATGATGCCTTAATGAACAAGCTAAATTTAGTAGCATCAACTTGCACCAGTTAACTGATGCATTAAAAAAGGAGGGATATGTATCAATTCTTTCACACAGCAAGGCACTACTAAATATGAGTGTGTCAGACCTCTACAGACAGACCAAGGCTTCTCCATAGAGCAAGGGTTCCTGCTGGCAGGGAACAGGCTTTACTTCTCAGGCTGTGGTTGCTTTAGAAAAAAAATAATTGTAAGATATTGAACACCTTTTGTTTTTATGCAGCTGGAATGCATGTAGCTTTTTTAAGCTGAGTTAAGTTGGTATTTAACATGAACTCTATGGAGCTAATTTGTAAACTGTTTGCAGAGCTATTTGCTTTGCGAACGAGATTCACATCATTGTATTACCGCTAGATGGCACCAAGGAGCATGAGAATTTTTTTTTGCTCCTAAACTCTAGACATATAGGGCATTATTTGGTACGCTGTTCTAATAAAAACCCTGTTTTTTGTATTATAAGCTGGAAAAATGTATTATTATTATTATTAACTGGACAAATAGGCCTTGTTCACACAGGCTTCACTTTGTATCAGAGCTGTGTTTACAGCAAGCTTTGCAAGGCTTTTGCCATACTTCAACCAACCAACCAACCAACCAAGCCTTTAACCCTTTCATAATTATTTTTTAAATTTTTCACTAAAGAATACTTCCCAAGAATAACCCCCAACTTTTTATTATTATTATTATTATTTTCTGAAAGCAGATAACCTGTAGAGTCAAAATAAGGTAGTTTCATTTTTTTATATCACATGTGCACAATTGTTTATAAAACCTATATTTTAGGTGAAAAAATACTTTTATTTGAATGCACACAATCACAATATAATTTAAAAATATATGTAAAAGATGAGATTGTTTAAAGTAAATAGATACTTAATAGATCAGGCCTCAAACTGTGTGCACCTGCGAAACAGTGTCAAATTATGATACCTAAGGTGGACCTGTACCCATATCTTTAAAATAACAACAAATACACTTTTAGAAATGTTTAGTAATGACAATCTACAAACACATACATCTAGATAATTGGCGGCTTTGTATTCTTTGCATTGTATTCTTTGTATTTTTTCTGACAGGGGCCATGTTAACTAAGGGCAGATAACTAGCTCTCCTTTTACTTCCTGGATTTCTGACACATGTGACTAGACATGTGACTAGGTCATGTGACCAGCACATCATCTCAGGGGAGGAAAGTGCCTTTCCCTGAGATCTCGTGAGATTACAGATGAGATTTCCCAGCAATGCTCTGCTGATGACAAGGCAATCCCAGTGTGCATTGGTTTGGCAAACTGAAGTCATTTTGCCCTTTCAAAGCAGGAAGTGAATGATCTGCAAGTGTAAGTATTTCATAATCACAGCATTTTACACCTGACATGTCTATGTTATTATTAATCATACATAGAGGGATGCATTGGAAAATTTTGATTTTTGAGTGTAAAGATCCACTTTAAAATGTACATAGGGGACACTTTAAAAACCTCTACAGCTCAAATTAGAGCCAACTGCAAATGATGGCCCTAGAATTATTCCTCTCACTCTGGAATGCTCGGCCATACTGAATGTGTGTTGTGCAATCAGCGTTTACATATGTACATGTATGTGCACGTCCTACATGCACTCATGTGCTGTCATGGGGCCAGTCGTGTCACTAGAGGGGTGCAGCCCACACCATGACGTCATGGTGGGGTGTCATCCAGTGGCTGCTCCGGGTGAGACCACGCCTCGGGACGCCTGTGCATGGGCTACGACGCTTTTTAAACATATTTTATTAGATTTTATCATTTTTAAAACAAAATACAAACCCCCCTATGTGATAACATTATGAAGGTGACAGTTCTTCTTTATGGAGATATCAGTTGTCTATTACACCCCTGAAGCTGGCCATACACCTATAGATTATCTGCAGATTTTCTATGGTCAGATGGAAAAAGTGCAACAGATTCCTCCATCTACGCTAAACTGTGTGTATGGAGGAACCTCCCACTGGGCCAAGCGTCAGTATCTTGCTAGTCAGCCCCACTGGCTCTCAAAATACCTGAACAATCTGATTGGATGCAGGCATTGTTCAGGTATTTTGGCAGCCAGCGGGGCCAACTAGCAAGATACTGAAACTTGGCCCAGCGGGAGATTCCCCCATCCACACAGTGTAGCGTAGATGGAGGAATCTGTTGCACGTTTTCCATCTGACCATAGAAAATCTGTAGATAATCTATAGGTGTATGGCCAGCTTTACATGTGCCCTGCCTTTTAAATGAAGCATCCAGCGTGGATGTCATCCCTTCATGTGATCATAGCTGACATATTGATTATATGATCAGGAACTACTCTGAATGGTTAATCATGGACATCAGTGGGGACCTGAACTGTCAGTAAAAGCCACGATTGAGTGCCATCAGCAACGCAAAGTGTCACCTGCTAGCTCTTAAAGTAGTGAGGTTTATAAACTTATCCCTGGCATAGGGCATCATGCTGGGGAACTGTTATTTAGAGATTTTAGGTGGGAAGTCATTACAACAACCTCCAGCCGGGTTTGGGATCATTACAAGCTTTTAATAAGCTGCCTGAAACTTGCTGAAAACTTTGCAAATGGTTCGGAAAGCTTTATGTACATACTGCTCTCATTCAAGCTAAAGCCTTTAAGTACAGAAGGATGAGAATAATTCTGAAAGGAGGAGCATATAGGCTCCAGCACCATTCTGTATGGCCTGGGCACTATAATAGCTCCTTGGCACTGGCAGAACTACCAGGGTCGCAGCGGTCACAATTGCACTTGGGGGGGCCCAGCGAGGAACAAGAGGGCCCCCTCTAGATCGTGCCGCTCCTTCCCTGCCGCGCTGCCACCCGCAGCATGTACGGGCGGCTGTGCGGCAGGGATGGAGAGGCTGTCACTGGTCCTGCAGAATGTGCTGCAGGCACCGCCAGGCAGCACATTATGCTGTGAGGACCCTCTCCTCTGACCCCCGCCCCCCGGCCGCCGAGACGAGGAAGAGGGCCCTGCAGGAGACGGAAGGTAAGTCTGGAGTGGGAAAGGGGGGAAAGCATAGCTGACTTTTATTATAATGTATTGCTGGGACTTGTAGTCCCGCATAGCTGGTGGTATTCTGCATTGATGTATGATGATTATACAGAAATGCAGAATAGCTCCAACTATGTGGGACTACAAGTCCCAGCAATACATTATATTATTAAGTAGGGATACACCACTGCCAATACTTGGCATTTTCACGAGTACTCACACTAGTGAAAATGCCCCAATACTAAACGCAGATACCGGTGTTCTGTCGACGTATTCGAATTTGCCGACCTCAGCATCTGCGGTTGCGCACAGACCGGTATTATCGAGGAAACCGGGATTTATTCACAAAGTATTTTGTTTAAATCGTTAATTGTGATGGTTAATAATATTCCATCCATCATTTACTGCCATCCACTATTTTCTGCCATAGACGGTATATTATTAACGGTCACAATTAACAATTACAAACGAATACTTTGTAAATAAATGCCGGTTTCCTGGGTAATCCCGTCTGCACGCAAGCACAGATACTGGGTCAGCGTTCTCGATAGAACACAGCACTAAAATTTTAAACAAGCGGCTGCCTGAGGTCCCGCGCCTGCTGGGGACCTCGGCAGCCTTCCTGTTAACATGAGGTGCCATGGCGTTTGGGGGGGGGGGGGGCTTCATGGTTTCTTGCACTGGGGCCCTGAAGGTTCTAGTTACGCCTCTGCTCCTTGGGCTACTACATCCATGGCATCTTGCTAGCTGATTGTATTTTTTCCAAGCAACAGCTTATCTAAAAAATAAGTTTCCTTTAGCGTGTATGTGTGTGTGTGTCAGGTACACTGTGATCCCTCCTGCCATGCAGAGTTTACAATTACTATGTTATTACATACAGTATAGCCATTAATGGTGCTTGCATGTTGCCGGGGCATTCTCCATTGTACACTGAATGCTGTGCAGTTTATGGCTTCAAGATTGATGTCCAGTGGGGGTCCCAGTCGTTCTGTTAATTGATAGAAAGAATTAAGAATTAGACAGTATCGCAATATTCTTATTTGATACATCTTACTTTCTCTTCTACAGCTTTTATACTTAGCACTAGACTATTCATTTTGACAATTTACTTTTTTAATCAGTTTCAAATTGTGCCTACTGCCTTTACATAAATATTCTCTGTCAACACAATGCTGAGGATTCCTTGATCCATTCTTGTCTTAGGTGCTCTGGAAAGCCAAGCTGGTGATCGAAGGTCTTGCTGTTTCATGACCAGCCTCAAGACAGTGTGCTTATCTGTCTGACATCAATGGATCTGAGCCAGTTGAACTGTGTTTGTTTTACAGTTTGATTGTTTGAAGAATTGGCATGACTTCATACACCTTATCACCAAAGCTGTGGTTTCCATTTGGTTGGTGGTAACCACCTGCACAGCATAGAATGACCATGCACCGTTCAACTGGCACAAATCCAATGACATCAGGTAGAGAGTCAGTCCATTGTGAAATTGGGAATCAGACAACTCAGGGAAAATGGTGGAAAAAAAAGGTCAGGTTGACATTCCAGAACTATGCTAAGGGACGCCCTGTTTAGTGGTGGTGGGATATTTATATAAAAACAGTTGGTGTCTCTTAAAGCACATGTCAAGGCAATATGAAAAAAAACCATACTTCATACATCTCTGCAAGTACAGAAAAATAACTGTTGATGTGCCAGAAATGCTGTATAGTGTGCTCCTACCTTCTTCTTTGACATGACAACATGTCTTTTTGGCTCTGAAAACAAAAGCATTCCCTGTCAGCCCTGCCTACTTGATTTCTTTTTTAAAATCACATTTTATTAGTTCCAAGACCAACATTACGGTTGCTTGAATACCCAGCTTGTGACTGCAGCTGATGGGCTGCAGTCGCTGTTTGAATGACAATTTTCATCCTGGCTCCTTCGATTTTTAAATCAAAGTTTATTGAGCCAGATGGGGCTCCTGTATGGCCAGCTTTTAAGTGGTAAGTTCACCTTTTCACAAAAAAATAAAGTAACTCACAACACCCTCTGTACCATCCCAGTCCCCTCTTCATTTATCTGCAATGATGACCCTTGCCCACCACCCACTCCAGCTCGCACTTGAAAACTTCACTACACTGCCCCAGAGGCTGTATAGAAACTTAAAAGAGAACTATGGGGTAAATGTTTTTTCCCATAGTTCAATTTAGGGTCACGGGAGGATATATTCTAACCTCCTCCCGTGACCCAAAGCTCAGTATATCGCGGGCTATTGCCCACTATATACTGAGAGCGCCACAGCCGGGACAGATTCTGACAATACTGTCGAGATCGACCCAGCTGCGTGAGTGACAGCTGGCTCTGCCTATCTAAAGCCAGCTGTGCCCGACGCCTCCCCCTTTCGTTCCTCTAGTTAGCTGGAGGATCGGAGAGGGGAGGGGGGAATCCCAGTGGGGAGCAGTGCCTGACAGTCACCGCTCACTGCAGGGAGACGATCGGGAAGTGAGTGGATTGGCTGCATGTTTCTGCTCACTTCCCAATCAATAGAGCCGACCTGTGACAGCTTCTTTGTCACAGGTCGGCTCTAACTATGAGGATGAGAGGAAATCACTCCCTCATAGTTCTCCTTTAATGTTTGCAATAGGGAGTCGTCATTGGTCAGTGTGGTCATCTAACCACAACATTTTGAATTTTCGGGAATGCTATACGGTCGGGCATGGCCAGCGGACAAGGGTCAACATTGCAGATAACTGCAGTGGGGACTGGGGGGTTGACTTAGTTTACCAGTTAAATTCTGGTGAAAAGGTACGGTAACCCTTTAAAGAATTTAAGCCCGACAGTGAGGCAAATCAGTAAAAGAAGTCATGATCATCAGCCGTCATAGTTCTCTTATGGCAGGTTTCCTTAACAGTAACTGCTACTAGCCATCACATGTTCCATTGCAGGTTACAGTACAGATAACTGACCTCCATGTTTTAGGGGTGTAGCAAGCACCACAGTCGTGCAGGAAATGAATTTGAATGCTGCAAGTTCTTTTAATGCACAGTTAAAAGTACAGTATAATGGATCTGTAGTCACTAAATAAAAAAGTGTGTCAATGAAAAGAGAATAAGTGCATGTTTGCTGCTACCATGGTTTAGTGATAACTCACTGTGATTCATGAAATTCGCATATTACAAACTTTTAGCTGAGAACTTTACAGGTTTGCTAGCAAAAAGAAAGAACAATATTCACAAGAGCCATTCAATTGAAGCAATGGTTAACACATCAAAAGAGTGGGCTTAAAGCAGTCATATTGTCAGTGTGTTGGAACTGTTGGGGAGAGCTGAGAATTTCGTACAGTGAAAGATACTTTTTTTTGCTTTTAAAAAAAAGGCTAGCCATGCCTTTAGTTTGACAATAGCTTGCTTATTGGCCCTATGAATGGCTATCCCTTAGACTTTACTTTTACCCAGGCATTTGCTCATCTCTAGTATTTGAGCATCTAGTTCTCTATCCCTTCCCATCCCTCACCCCTTTTTTCATTCCTTCTCTTCATTTTCCCCTCATTCCCGTCCTCCTCGCCTTTTTTTTCCTTTCCTCCTCCTCTACATCTTTCTCCCCTCCTTTTCCCGTTGGCCTTCCCACCCAACCAGATTACTCTCCATTAGTTCCTCAATAACCCACAGCCCCAACATCTTGTATATGCCCTTAGCCTGTTCTGAACTCATAGCCCAGTATTACATAGCCTCTGATGAGGCATTAGCCTGGCCCCTTTCCCCAAACGGTCTATCCTTGATCACTCAGGAATGCTACCATTTGTTGTACCTTGCATATGCTTCTTGATTTCCTTTTGTTTATCTAAAAATTAAAATATTTATGAAAGATAGAGATAGATAGATAGATAGATAGATAGATAGATAGATAGATAGATAGATAGATAGATAGATAGGATTTTGTAATACCCTTAACTCTCTTATGGTTCAAAAATATGCACGAGGAGTCAGACAGCAAACACACCCTTCCAGTATATATAGTTTAAGAGGAAATAGTTTAGAATAATACCCTACAAATAGGAGATGCACTATGGAATTCTTAGTGCCAGTCAGACCACAAAAGAGTGGTGATGTGCTTGCTGCCTGACACCACTTGGACATTACAAACCTGGAGCACAGTTAGGGCATCATGAGAATGTATCAGTAAAAAATAAGTCAAGGCAACTGTATTTTTTCTTGAAGACGTTTCACTGGACTTCACTGGTCCAGTGAAATGTATTCAAGAAAAAAAAAAAAACAGCAAGTCCAGTTGCCTTGACTTATTTTTTACAGATATACCATGGCCGGGATGAATGAGAACCTTCACAGACATCATGAAAATGCCTTCTACTTCTCATCTGTCCTAGTAGTATCCAGGTCTATATGACAGCAGGAAGAGGTCCTAGCACCCATCCAACCAACATCTAGTATTGTGCAGCTTGACTCAAACATGGCCTGTACATACCCTAAGTGGAAGCAGTGGAACAAAGGCTTAAAAGAATGGCTAAAGTAAGGACGTTTTTACAAAAACCAGGGGATCCAAATGTTCTTTGCATCAAAAGGTCCTTTTATTAATGAAAACTTGCTATGTTCTCTACAAATATGTGTTCAGAGAGGCAGAATGAAGGTATCTTCTGGCAAATCTCCTGTGATGTATTGTTAGAGTCTGATAAAATAGGGGGTAGCTGATGTAAAGGAAAAAGAATCTTTAAAATTCACCCTGGTGCTTTATCTAGCTTGGTGTCTGCTGTGCATTTCTGCAGAACTCTAGGAACTCAGCAGCACTCAATAAAGTGAAAGTGTGCCTCATTTATCAAAGTGTCTGGAATAGGAAATGGGGGAGGGGGGGGGGGGCAGCAAGTAGGGACCGAGCAGAACAGCCAAGCCAAATGCCGCTCGGCGGCATTCGGCTATTCTCTCACTGCTGTTCGGGATCTTTCAGAATAGGCCAAACAGCATTGTGAAGCCTGCCGTAGGTTCGGCTCAGCCGATCCAGATGTTGGATCGGCTGAGTCGAACTCCTTCTGCACTTCGGGTCAGCCGAACATGCTGAGCATGTTCGGCTAATCCGAAGCCACGCGAAGCAAGCCGATGTACGGCTGATTTCAGCCGATGTACGGCTGAAATCAGCCGTACCAGCCTGAAGTGAATAGCCGAACAGTGTTCGGCTCACTTCACTTCTGATCGGTCATTCACTCGGCTGCCCTCGGCAGCTTTGTGAATAGACCCCTATGTGTCTTGTGGAGTTTCCCAACTGCTGTGCAGGCAAAGCAGGACTGGGATTTTTTATGACCTCTTGGCTTCATCTCTGCAAGCTGCATAGCTCAGAGATCATGGGCTTTCCACACCTCTATCTCAGTATGTCATTATTCTCCAACAGTTGCATAAGGAGCAAAGACCATCACCATCCCAGTAGTTTCCTGTGTTCTCCCTTCTCATTTAGTTGACAAACAAATCAAGTCTGGCTGATGTCAGATGGGAGACCACCACTAGTGATCCTTCCATTGGCAATTTGTCGACATTGCCAGTGGCAGGATTGCAAAAATGCTACCTGTTTGTTCCTAAGGAATCGCTCCCAGTGTAGCTGAGGCAGCGAGATGTTGCTTCAATTGCTAGCAACAAATAATTAGCAGCGTTTGGACATCTGGCTATGGAACAGATTCCATAGGGACAGGCAGGCAACCTTTTTTAGCGGTCCTGCCACTGGCATTTTGTCTCTAGCGGCAGAATTGCCATCTGACATCAGCCTAACAAATGCCTGACAAAAGAGAAGACGAGAGTAAGGGCCAGTTCACACCATATGCAGTTGTGGTGCAGTCCGTTTATATTGACTGCTGCAGTCAAAATACATCACAATGCTTTCCTATGGGCTTTCTTGTGCTTAATTCACACCATTGCAGTCCGTTCAGATGCAGTCAGAAAAACTACTGCTTGTCCTATTTTACCTGCATCAAACTGCATCGAAACGCATCAAAACTGAGCGCAAACGCATAGC